ATTTTATACGAATATATATTTGAAAAATAAAATAAAATTATAATTATATAATTGAAGAAAATTTTGCAGGAATTTCTTACTATTAAGTTTTTGCAAAAAAAATCTTACATATTTTCTAGAAAAAATATTTTGCAAATAAATTTGTAATAATTTGTTGTGAAATATTTTTCTTAGGAAAAGTTGTAGCTATTTTTTACTAAAAAAATTTTGCAGAAAAATCCACATGAATTTAATGATTTTTTAGTAGTGCATCCTAATCGGAGTTTGACTAATTGGAGTAGTGTAAAAGAAAAGTTTCTGAATAGATTTTTCCCATCATCCCGCTACATCAAAGCAAAATCTGACATCACTTCTTTGAGACAAAGAGCAGATGAACAATTTTGTGAAGCATGGGAGAAATTTAAATCACTGTTGAGAAGATGCCCAAATCATGGATTTGATGACGTTTCTCAGTTGAATATTTTCTATATTGGCTTGCGACATGATGTAAAGATGTTATTAGAGGCTGCAGCAGGAGGATCCATGTTGGATGTAGAAATTGATCATGCCACAAGAATTATTGATGCACTAGCTTTTACAGACCAACAGGCCCAACATGATAGACATCCAATTCAAAGGAAAGGAGTCCTTGAACTTAACACCACAGATGCTCTCTTAGCCCAGAATAAAATTTTGACACAACAAATTGAAGCATTGAACCAGAAAATAGAGAAATTACCTCAACAAATGCACACAGTACAAACTATTCCTAATCAACAATTGAGTTGTAATTTGTGTGGAGGTGATCATTCAAATGAACAATGCTCTTATCAAGACAACATTCAACGAGAAGAAGTTAATTATATGGGGGCCCAAGGTAGTAGTCAAGGCAGACAAGGTAATTTTCCTAATTCCAATAATTATCAGAATAATTTTGCACAAGGATGGAGAGGGAATCAAAATGAGAATCAGAATTTTGGGTGGAACCAAGGTGTTAGCTCATCTACTAGACAACCTGCATTTCAACAACAGTCATATCAGCAATCTCCATATCAACAATAGCAACAGCATTATCCTTCAGTGCCTGACAGAATAAGTAAATTGGAGGATATTGTAGAAAAATTTATGCAAAGCACTATGGTTAATTAGAAAAATAATGAGGCTTCATTCAAAAATATAGAGACCCAAATAGGCCAACTGGCTAAGCAATTATCTGAGCAGCAACAAGGAGGACAGTTTTCAGCTAACACACAAACCAATCCAAAGGAGCAGTGCAATTCAATAACTACAAGGAGTGGAAAAGTTGTAGGTAAGGGGATTGGTGACAATATAGTTGTTGAAGAAGAAGCTTTGGTAAAAGAAGATGAAAAGCAAGAAGAGGAGAATAATAAAGAAAGACATATTCTTAATAAGAAGAACGAAGAGAAGATAGAAAAAGGAGGGAGTCAAAAACCATTTGTAGAGAAGTTACCATATCCCAAGGTTCCCTCACAGATAGATAAAGAAAGACAATTCACAAGATTCATGGATATTTTCAAACATTTACAGATTAATATTCCATTTTTGGAAGCTATGGAGCAGATGCCAACTTATGCAAAATTCATGAAAGAGTTGTTAACTAAGAAAAGGAGATTTACTGTAGAAACAGTGGAGCTAGAAGCAGGATGCAGCGCTATAATTCAGAAATCATTACCTCAAAAGTCCAAGGATCCTGGCAGTTTCACTATACCAGTCACAATTTGGACGTTACAAGTAGGTAAGTCATTACTTGATTTGGGTGCTAGTATAAATCTAATGTCTTTGTCTATGCTTAAAAGAATAGGAGACTTGGAAGTAAAGTCTACAAGAATGACATTACAGCTAGCTGACAAATCTGTAAAGATTCCTTATGGAGTAGCAAAAGATGTTTTAGTTAGAGTGGATAACTTCATATTTCCTGATGATTTTGTGATTATGGACATGGAGGAAAATGAGGAAGTCTCATTGATCCTGGGAAGGCCATTTATGAAGACTGCCAAAGTAATTATAGATGTTGACATGAGCAAGTTAAAAATTAGAAGTGGAGATGATGAAGTTAATTTTAATCTATTTGAAGTTGTACAACAACCGGAAGACAAGAAAGATTGTCTCAGAATAGACACTTTGGAAGAATTAACCATCTCAACTGAAAAACAAGATTACAAGCATGTTGCACAACCCCAAAGACATCTTAGTCTGACTATGAAGGAAGTTGTTCAAAGAAAGGTACTGAAACCTCCTGAAGCAGGTATGATTTATCCAATCTCCGACAGCTGTAAGGTTATTCGCAATGAAAAGAATAAATTCGTTCCCACAAGGACAGTTAAGGGATGGAGAATGCGTATATATCACCTTGATCACTCACCTGCATGAGCCCTAAAGCAAATAGGCATAAAGCTGAAGACGTTAAACAAGCGCTCCTGGGAGGCAACCCAATGTTTTGAATTTTTTTTTTCTTTTTGTAGTTTAAGTTTTTTTGTGCATTTTTCTTCCTTAGGTTCTTTCTTTGCAAGATTGCTCTAGGTACACAGTGCACTTCTCCTCAAGACTTTGAAGCCTTACATCAATAGCCTGGGGACAGTCCAACTTTTCTGGAGGGGGTGAGAAAGTCTGCAGCTGAGGCTGAGGCAGAAGATAAGGAGTACATGACAAGTGAAGAAAATGAAGGAGGAAACTTACTTTACTTTTAATGTTTTTAATTCCTTTGTTTTTAATTGCTTTATTTTAAATTTTGAATTCCCTTGTTGTCCCATAATTTGTTTTAGAGCCATATATGAAATTATTGCTTATTGTCTAATTCAAATCTAGAACATGAAAAATAATTTTGATTGTTTCCAATAACAAGTGATTTTGGGATATTGAGTATGATAGTGAAAAAGAATTGATGAGGAAAATTAGGAATTAACTGAATTGGAGAAGCTAGCCAAAACCCAAGTGAGCAGAGTACCACAAACAGATAAATTGAGTGTCAACACTTTGTGATGATAACTGATATTGGTTGATTCTTTGATGTGATTACATGTTTGCAAGACTTGAAAATGATAAAGACATTTTTTCTTTGTAGTAGATATAACCCAGGGCCAAATAGCCAACCATGCATTAATTATAGGACATCCATTTGAACCCCTTCTGAGCCAAAAAAATAATATTGTTTCTTAAACAGAACCCTTAAGCCTAAACATTATTTATCTACCTTCCTATATTTGAGAAAGGAAATGAGTATGAATGTCACTATTTTTCTTATTGTTGGGTATTGCTATTGTTGTCCTACAGGTATTGTTGGGGTGTTATTGTTAAAAAAAAATGTAAAGAAAAAGGAAAAGCAAAGCTTAAAAATTTGCAAAGTCAAAAAAAGGATACATGCAAAAGCAACAAAAAAAAAAGTCAAAAGGAGGGTAATAACTTGTGAGATTATTAACTCATTGTCATTGTGTTAGGGACAAAAACATAAAGTTTGAAACCTGACTTGAGGAATTGTTAATCAAAAATCATTCATGAGTTGAATTTCTCAAATATTTTTGTATATCCCAGAAAAACCAATAACTTTTTCTTAGTCCAGCCTCATTATAAGCCTCAAAAGACCTTTTGATTTAAGACTTGTTTAACAATTGTTGATTGCTTGAAAATGATTATCAATATTGGATTGTCTAAATGAAGTGATTGAATGAGATAAACACTTACTTGTGAGAATTAGAGATGAGTATATATAACTCTATTTGAGAGATCATGCTTCTCTGAGGATAGTTGATGACTAATTATTCTTTGTTGGTTTCTATAACTTGAATGCTTATGTGTTCTATTTTCATTTGGAGTTGTGAGCATCACCCCTAAAAATTTTTATGTTGTCGTTCTAGAAGAGAAAAAGATAATAGGTGATGATTTTGTTTTGGAAAAATTACTTTTCTTGGGACAAGCAAGATTCTAGGTTGGGGGGAGTTGTTAAGTGGTAAAAAGTTGATATAATTATGCCTTAAATTATTATAAAACCACTTAACTTATGTTAATTATAATATATTTTTCTCCCAATATAGGATAAATTCGAGAATACCTTGATACAAGAGTAAGGAGCATAATTGTCAGCATAATTGGAGTAAAAGTGAAAGAAAGAAGAGCACTTAAGCGAATGAATGATGCGAGGCCCGACCCAAATTCTCTTATAAAAAGATTAGATGTGTTTTGAGAAGGGAAGCAGTCTTGGAGGAGAGGAGGCGCGACTACTGTTAGGGTTTTGTCTAATCTTCATCAATTCTTCACTTCATCAATTGGAGCATTGTAATGGCCAACATGAGTGACTAACTTCATTCTCTTAGGATTCGGTGCACTTCCTTTGAACTCTTTTGTATCATGGTGATATTTTGAGATATTAATCTATGCTTTGATGTTGTTATTCTTATCCTTTATGCTTTGGAATGATTTATTCTTGATTGTTTGAGGTATGATTGGAAAATATATCTTGAACCCTAGATCACGGTAAGAATATTTGTTACGTTAATTGCCAGGAATGGAATGAATGTATCAAGTGCTTAAATAATCTAACCCTAATGCTGGAAAATCTCTTAATTGTGAGAGGAATCAACATTTATTAGGTTTTCTTATGAATTTCATGTGTGAGGAATCAACATGGATGATTTGAGTAGGTGGCATCAACATTGTTAGGTTAATTGACGTTCTTAATTGACATAGCCATTACAAAAGAGGGATAAGGAAGGAAGTCAATCCTAAGTACCTTTAATTGATATTTTATCAACAATTTACAGTTCTTTGTCATTTAATTTCAATTCAACTCTTATTTGCAAAACCTAATCTGTTTTAATCTACTTAGTAAGCATAATTGAGAATTTCCATTGAAACTGTTCCTCGTGGGATCGATTTTTATTTTATCGAAATACTATACTGCGATTGATAATTTTGGTACGCTTGCCAATAATTCAACAATAATCTGTGTATGCTGGTAAATAAGCTGATATGTAAAGAAGAAAATCCATAAAAAGGTAAAAATACCTTCAACTTTTGACTGTATTTTTCTGAAAATTAGTTTTCTTCTTCTGATTCAATAATGTAACTTGTTTGATGTGCGATATCTTGTGCCAATCCTGTCCAACTTCTGGTTGGAGTCTTTTGCATAGTTCAGGACAACCAACAATTCGTAGATGTTGAAGGTGATGCATGTTATCAGGGAGTGAGAGAAATTTTGGGCAATTTTCGATTGAAAGCGATTTGAGATGAATCATAGTTGATAGCCACTTAGGAAGCTCCTCAAGATTGACAGAGTCAGATATCCTCAAGGAATGTAAAGTGTTGAGAGATCCTTGCAACCACTGAGGCAAAGTGACCAGCTGTGGTAAATCATCAAGAAATATCAACTTAAACCTTGAATCGGGAATTTGGCTGCCAAGACCCATTGACAATTCCAACCTACCACACTTTGAGATCATTAAAACATCTAAATTTTTTATGGCATGAAATGACACCGACTTTAGACCCCCACATTTACTCAAATTCAAAATTTTAAGGTTGGGAAGTTGTATCCCTTCGAACAATGACTCCACATTATCACAACAACAAATATATAACGATTCTAAAGAAGTCAAACTTGCAATCTCTTTTTCAGGAAAATCAGCTTGTCTGGTGGTTATAACTAGGTGACGAAGGTTGATTAGATTTCTTATTCCTTTGGGTAACTTTTCTAGCCTTTTGCATCCACCAAGCTTCAAAGTTTGCAAATTTTGAAGTTTGCAGACTGAATCAGGGAGTCTCTTAAGATTTTCACATTCCGAAAGACTGAGATATCTTAAATGCTTCAACTTTCCGATCCTGCGAGGCAAACTCTCGAATTCAGAAGAATATAAGTTTAAAACCCTCAAGTATTTGCACTTTGTTACCAATGTGTTCAAGAAAGCTTCAGTGTTGGCTCCGTTAGGACAATACACGGTTCTCAGACTTGTGGGAAGAAGAGCTCGACGAGGCATATTATTATCCATTAATGTCAAATGTTGAGCAAACTCAGATATGTTTAGATTGCGGGGATATATTATTTCAAACTCACCTTTCGCAATATACACCGAAAGATCAATCACTAAATCATGTAAATTAAAATGGCAATCACCCCCAAAGTCAATATAATCTGAAAGAAAAGATCTTGACCATAGCTCATCCAAAAATTGCTTGCCAACATCAACCATTGATTCATGTTCCTTTGGAGGTGGAAGAAAACCAAGAGCTCCCCACATCCTAGTAACCCAAGAACCATAAATATTAGTACCCTCAGGAAAAAGGGAGAAAGAAGCAAAACATGGCTTTAAATATGAAGGCAGTTGATCATAACTTAATTTGAGAGCAGGCAAAATGCCCTTCTCATTTTGTCTTAAATTCCAAATCTCGTTGTCTCTTATAAACTCCCACTCTTTCTTATCAACCCTTGAAAACAGTGAACTCCCCAACGTTCTCACTGCCAATGGTAAACCTCCACATTTTTTAACTATTTCTTTCCCAATCTCCAATAACTCTGGATGTTTATTCTCTTCTCCATCTTCAAAAGCAGATTTGACAAACAAAGAGAAAGAATGCTCTTGAGAGAGGCATTCAAGAAGGTACGAATTTGAGAATTTAGTGCGCATCATGGCAGCTACTGAATGACTACGAGTAGTCACTAGGATTTTACTCCCTTCAACACCCACATCTATTATATCCTTCAACTCATCCCATCTAGCACGATCCTCGTTCCACACGTCATCCAAGACAAGCAAGAACTTTTGACTTTGAAGTTTATTTCTCAATTCATTTTGAAGTTGCTCCGTGTCAAAGTTTTTGAACTTCTCCTTAGTTGGGTTAGGAGCAGAATTAAGGATATTGACAAGCACATTCCTAAGTTGAAAATCATTTGAGACACACACCCACATCTTCAACGGAAAACATTCTTGAATGCTGCTGTCACTGAACACCAACTTTGCAAGTGTGGTCTTCCCCAATCCTCCCATTCCCACAATGGGAACTACAGAGAGACTTTGATGATGAACATCATGTAGCAAAAGTTTTATGATTTTCTGTTTATCATGTTCCCTTCCTATAACATTGGAAGGGTTTACATGAGAATGGGTCATTTCCCTCACGCGAACAACACGTGTATCTTGGTCAATGATTTGAAGGCCAAACAGGTTCCTATCAGCTGCAACTTTCTCCAACCTCTCCCTGATATCTTTTATCTGATGTGCCATTCTAAGACGATAAACAAGAGGATTACTTGAAGAGAATAAACGGCGTACCTTCCTTGAGCAGCTACCATAGGTGTTGACAACGTGCTTCCGCAACGCTTCACACTCGAAATCATCGACTATGTCTTCGGCGTCGGAGAAGACGTGCTTGATCTGTCTCAGCCATTCGCTCAATGCACTGCTCTGCGACATCTTTTGCTCGGCATCTAACAGCACACCTTTGATGAGTGTCATAGTTGCTTTCATCTGTTTTAGCTCGCCATATACACCAAGTGCCGAAGAAGCTTCTTCAACGGCACGATTAGCAAGCTTCCCTATGAGCGATTCTGCCAAGCTAAAGAGAAGTGTTTCGGCCATGAGTTTAGGGAGACAAGAATGCAGTTGGAAGTTGGTAAGTAGAATACATGCATTCTGAATCATGTCTCTCATTACGCGTTTTATAACCCTGCTGGAAAACTATATTATCTTAAAATATGTACCATAATTCTGGTGGTTTGGTTTGGTGTCATGTTTCCACGTACAAAACGACAATGCAATACAGTACCATGTGAAATAATGTCATTGATTCCACTAAATTTTTTATTTGCTTTAATGCATTTTCTGTGTGAATGCATGGTTTGTCTAATAATAAGTTGATTTTAGTGTAATGGTGTTGGTGGTGGGTAAATTATGTGAAGAAAGAAGTCCCACATCCGTGGGAACTTCAATTGGGGGCTCTCCTCCTTCTTATAAAAGGAGTCCCTCCCCCCTTATTTCATACATCCCAAATATTTCTCCTTCTTTCTCTTTTACTTTCCTAGTATTGGTAATTTCCAATTGTAAAAGGAAAGAGTGGTCATTATAAAATTTTCATTTTTGCCTATTGTCAGGGTTATTTTTCTCGTCTCTATTTTAGTTGTGTGTATTTATGCTGGTACTCTGATCCTAACAGTGGTATCAGAGCTGCGTTCGAGTTCTGTTGCGCGTCACATTTTAGTTGTGTGTATTTATGCTGGTACTCTGATCCTAACAGTGGTATCAGAGCTGCGTTCGAGTTCCGTTGCGCGTCACTAGAATAGTGTTGGTAAAATTCTGAGTATGCTCTGTGGTTGCAGTTTAATCTGATCTTCCACATCGAAAAGAGTTGTTACTCGAAAAAGGTGTGGTAGTGTGAAAGTACTATTGAGGAAAGTTCCGCTAGGAAAGACTTGGTACTTAAGCGTGTCCATTAGTGACCCACCTCTCTTTCCTGGGAACCTACTTGGTGTACTCGGTTCACTGGCTTTACTACTATTGTTCCGGTAGACAATACTATTTATAAGTGATAGTTGCATAAGTCCGTATACAACCATGGCAAGCAAAGTACGAGATAGAGAAGTTCAACTGGAACAATTTCTCGTTGTGGAAATTGAAGATGAAGGCAATCTTGAGAAAGGACAATTGCGCGAAGCAATTGAGGGAAAACCTGCGTAAATGACTGGATAAAGATTGGAAGAAAATTGACGGTAACGCTTATTGCAAATTTACACTTGGCAATGGCGGACTCAGCTCTATCTAGTGTTGCGGAGAAAGATTCTCGCAAAGGAGATTTGGGATGCCCTCATTAAATTATATGAGGTGAAGTCACTTCACACAAGGATATTCCTCGAAGAGGAAACTCTATACTCTTCGGATGAGTGAGTCCACATCGGTGACGGACCACATCAACCAACCGAACACCTTGTTTGCCCAATTAGCGAGCAGCAAATTTTAACATAGTTGAGAATGAGCGTGCGGAGCTCTTACTTCGTGAGCTTGCCGGACTCGTATGATCAACTCATCATCAACATTACAAATAATAATATTGAAGGACAACTACACTTTGACGATGTTGCCGGAGCTATTCTAGAAGAAGAATCCAGGCGAATGAATAAGGTAGAAAGTTCTAAACAAGCGAAGTTTTGACGATGATGAGAGGAAGATCAGCGGAACGTGGCTCAAGTGGGAGTCAAGATCATGGCAGATCTAGCTCTCGAAACAAGAAGACTTTCAAATTTAAATGCTACTACCGTGGCAAGAAAGGGCACACGAAGAAAGAGTGTTGGAAGAGGAAGAATGAAGAATCAACCTCACAAGGTTGCATTGCGAGTACTTCGGAGGAAGGAGTAATTCGGTAAGCGAAGCAAAGAATCGCTCTAATGGCGGAAACGAATTTCATGACAATAATGGATTCAGGTGCAACTTGGCATATGACCCCACACCGAGATTGGTTTCAAACCTACAAGCCTATCTCGGGTGGATCCGTGTTCATGGGAAATGACCATGCATTGGAGATTGCTGGAGTTGGTACCGTCAAATTAAAAATGTATGACTGGTACTATTCGCACAATCCAAGAAGTACGACATGTGAAGGACTTGAAGAAAAATATATTGTCTATAGGGCAATTGGATGACCTCTAGCTGCAAGATCCATGTTGAAGGAGGAATCTTAAAGGTAGTGAGGGGAAACATAGTTGTCATGAAAGCGAGAGAAAATCATGGCAAACTTGTATGTGCTTATGGGAGACACCTTGCAAGAAAATCATGCAACAACCGCGTCGACAAGCCAAGAAGAAGCGGCGATAACGTGGCACCGTAGACTTGGACATATGTCGAGCGAGGTCTGCAGATTCTTGCGGAACGTGATCTCATACCTGGGCTCAAGAAGGTCGATTTACCCTTCGTGAGCATTGTGTGACAAGCAAACAACACAGGTTGAAGTTTGCAAGAACCACCACAAGGAGTAAGCAAACTTTGGACTTGATCCATTCCGATGTCTCGAGAATCACCTGAATTATCTCTGGAGGAGCAAAATATTTTGTGTCGTTCATCGATGACTACTCGAGGAGATTATGGGTATACCCTATCAAGAAGAAGTCCGAAGTATTTGCGCGGTTCAAAGACTTCAAAGCACAAGTAGAACTTGAGACCGGAAGGAGAATCAAGTGTTTGAGGACGTACAATGGAGGAGAATATGTAGATGGAGATTTTCTAGTATTCTCGCAAGCAAGAAGGAATTGTGAGACAATTTTCTGTTCCACACACGCCTCGCCAGAATGGTGTAGCAGAGCGGATGAATAGAACTCTTCTAGAGAGAACCGTAGCTATGCTGCAAACCTGCAGCATAACAAAGTCTTTCTCGGCGTAAGCCGTGAATACCGCCCGTTACTTGATAAATCGGTCTCCATCAACAAGCAATTGGGTTGAAAACTCCTATGGAAATGTGGAGTGGAAAATCAACCGATTATTCTTCCTTACATGTGTTTGGTTGTCCCGCGTACGTGATGTACAACACCCAAGAAAGGACGAAGTTGGATCCAAAATCCAGGAAATGCATCTTCTTGGGATATGCCGACAATGTGAAGGGGTATCGCTTGTGGGATCCCACCGCCCACAAAGTTATTGTTAGCAGAGATGTCGTCTTTGCAGAAAATGAACTGCAAAGCAAGCAGATAAATGACAACTCGGAAAAGGACAAGACTATAGTACGGATAGAGAAGAAGACTTCGAACATTCCTCCGAGTTAGAGGAGGAGCATGAAGAACATGAGCCAAATGAGGTGGAAGAAGGAGAACTCCGACGATCAACAAGAGAAAGAGTCGGACCATCTTGGCATTCACAATATGTGATGGCAAGTCATGATGCGTATTGTCTCCTAAGTGAAGAAGGAGAACCTTCAACTTTTCAAGAGGCCGTGAGTGGTTCGAAGCTCCTCTATGGATGGTCGCTATGGAAGAAGAAATTGAAGCTCTTCATAAAAACAAGACATGGCACCTTGTGGAACTTCCAAAAGGTCGCAGAGCCATTGGTTGCAAATGGGTCTATAAGATCAAGAGAGATGCCAATGATCAAGTAGAAAGATATCGTGCTAGGACTCGGTGGTAAAAGGATATGCTCGTAAAGAAGGCATTGATTTCAACGAGATATTCTCACCAGCTTGTTAGATTGACAACAATCGAATTGTCCTGGCGATGTGTGTCGCATTTGATTTACATCTTGAGCAATTGGATGTAAAAACCGCTTTTCTTCATGGAGAACTTGAAGAGGAAATATATATGCTCCAACCGAAGGCTTCAAAGAGCAAGAAAACTTGGTTTGCAGGTTGAACAAATCTCTATACTGGTCTAAAGCGAGCGCCAAGGTGTTGGTATAAGAGATTTGATTCCTTCATTATTAGCCTCGGATACTACGGACTAAGTTCGGACCATTGTACTTACCACAATAGGTTTGAAGAAAATGATTTCATCATATTGCTGTTGTATGTGGATGACATGTTGGTGGTAGGCCCTAACAAAGTTCGAATCCAAGAATTGAAGGCACAATTGGCTAGGGAGTTTGATATGAAGGACTTGGGACCAGCAAACAAGATTTTAGGGATGCAAATTCACCGAGACGTAAAAGATAGGAAGATTTGGCTTTCTCAAAAGAATTATTTACTTAAGATCTTGCGCGCTTCAACATGCAAGATTGCAAGCCAATTTCTACCCCACTTCCCGTCAACCGTAAGTTATCCTCAAGTATGAGTCCTAGCAGTGAAGCGGAGAGGATCGAAATGTCTCGAGTACCGTATGCATCAGCGAGTGGGAAGTCTTATGTATGCCATGATTTGTACAAGACCTGGACATTGCACAAGCAAGTGGGAGTGGTTAGTAGATTCATGGGGAATCCTGGTGGAGAGCATTGGCAAAATGTGAAGAGGATCCTTAGGTATATAAAAGGAACCTCAAATGTTGCATTATGTTATGGAGGATCGAAGCAGCTTGTCGGAGGCTATGTAGATTCGGATTTTGCAGTGATCTCGGATAAAAGGAAGTCTACTACTCGGTTATGTGTTTACCATCAATGGAGGGGCAGTAAGTTGGTTATCCAAGTTACAAGATGTGGTAGCTCTGTCTACTACGGAAGCTGAATACATGGTCGTCACCCAAGCATGTAAAGAAGCTATCCGGATTAAAAGAATAATGGGGGAACTTGGTCACAAGCAACAACAAATTGTTGTGTACCGTGATAGTCAAAGTGCCTTACACATTGCAAGAAATCCAGCCTTTCATTCAAGGACAAAACACATAGGAATAAGATATCATTTTGTTCGAGAAGTAGTAGAAGAAGGAAGTGTAGATTTACGTAAGATCCACACCGAGAAGAACCTAGCAGATGTAATGACAAAGCCTAGGTTAATGTCGACAAGTTTATATGGAGTCGATCCCTCTATGGCCTATCGGAAGCATAAGCAACATGGATGTGAGAGAAGAAGACATAGTGTGAAGATTTGATTAATTTCATCAAAATCTTCAAGTGGGAGATTGTGAAGAAAGAAGTCTCACATCCGTGGGAACTTCAATTGGGGGCTCTCCTCCTTCTTATAAAAGGAGCCCCTCCCCCCTTATTTCATACATCCCAAATATTTCTCCTTCTTTCTCTTTTACTTTCCTAGTATTGGTAATTTCCAATTGTAAAAGGAAAGAGTGGTCATTATAAAATTTTCATTTTTGCCTATTGTCAGGGTTATTTTTCTCGTCTCTATTTTAGTTGTGTGTATTTATGCTGGTACTCTGATCCTAACAGTGGTATCAGAGCTGCGTTCGAGTTCCGTTGCGCGTCACATTTTAGTTGTGTGTATTTATGCTGGTACTCTGATCCTAACAAATTATGACTAAATCAACACTATAAAACAACCCATTAACATTTGATTTCTTTAAGTTGACTGACTTTAGGGAAATATTTGTTTCTTAATTGAGCCAAAAGGTTCATATACATCATCATGAAAAGACTGCCTCCAACAACCTTCTAGATTGGCTCCAAGACCGATTCTATTCTTTTAGTTCCTTATATTTTTTATTCAAACTATTTTAGTTGTTATACCATATGAATTACTAAATGATCCTTTTGGGACCAAAATTGGTGAAGCAAACACTATCAAAATTACAATAGTTAAAAGGTTTTCCAAAGTAATCAGGACAAAAAATAAAAAAAAGTTGCACACATAAATGGATAAGGCTTTAAGGATTTAAGAAAAAAGAACATAGACAAGCACATCAAATTATAGTTGCATTAGATCTTAACAGAAAAAACAAAAAATATTATAAACATCATTATTATATTTGACCTCATTTGAAAAACAGTGTTCTTTCACTAACAAATTGGTTCTGGACAAATAATTTCATATTTCTCTTGAGATCATTGAGAAGGTGACATAGTGTCCTTGAGAAATTTCATGGAAGCAAAGGTAGATAGTGACACGATTATGATAATCTTTGGATGAATCTGTGAGCAGCTTGTTGACTTTTCATAGTTCAACTGGTCAACCCCAGGACTTTTCGGAATAGATAATGGTTTTCATCTACCTGTCACTTAAAAGAAAATAGATATTATAGGTAACATCAGCCATAAATTGTATCAATTTCATCTTCTACCAAAAATGTATTTGTATTTTGCTCCGCGTAGAGCTCACCAATCTTGACTAGACTTTCCAAAATATATGTATAATGACAAGATAAGATTCAGACTAAAACCATTACAGCAAGTTCTAATTGAATGCTTACCTATCAAATTTCATGGCCGAATCACTCATTTTCGCCGTTGCAGAATCACTGATAGGGAAGCTCGCTTCTCAAGCTGTCGAACAAGCTTCTTTGGGGTTGGGTGTGTACCATGATCTGCAACAGATGAAAAAGACCATGGCACTGATCAAAGCTTTCCTGTTAGACGCTGAGCAAAAGAAGCAGCAGAACAATGCGTTGAGTGAGTGGCTGAGACAGATTAAGCACGTGTTCGCGGACGCCGAAGACATAGTTGACAATTTTGAGTGCGAAGTGCTGCGGAAGCACGTTGTCAAGACTCATGGCAGCTTCTGCAGGAAGGTACGTCGTTTGTTCTCAACTAGTAATCCTGTGGTCTACCGTTTAAGAGTGGCGCGTGAGATAAAAGGCATCCAGATGCAGCTAGAGAAGGTTGCAGCTGATGGGCACATGTTTGGACTTCAAAGCGGGGACAAGGATACACCAGTTATGCATGCGAGGGAAATGACTCATTCACATGTAAATGCCTCAAATGTTGTAGGGAGGGAACATGATAAGCAGAAAATAATAGAGCTTTTGCTGCATGATGGTGAAGACAGAAGTCTCTCCGTGGTTTCCATTGTGGGATTTGGAGGCTTGGGAAAGACCACGCTTGCAAAGTTGTTGTTCAATGACACCGACATTGACGAATGTTTCCCTTTGAAGATGTGGGTATGTGTCTCTAATGATTTTGAACTTAGGAATGTGCTTATTAAAATCCTTAATTCTGCTCCTAACCCCCCCAATGAAAAGTTCAAAAACTTAGAGACGGACCAACTTCAAAGTCGTTTGAGAAATACACTTCAACGTCAGAAGTTCTTGCTAGTCCTAGACGACGTATGGAACGAGAATCGTGCTAAATGGGATGAGTTGAAGGAAATCATAGACGTAGGTGTTGAGGGGAGTAAAATCCTAGTGACTACTCGAAGTCACTCAATAGATGCCATTATGCGCACTAAATCCTTTAACTCTTACATTCTAAAAGGCCTTTCTGAAGAGGATTCCTTGTCTCTATTTCTCAAATCGGCTTTTGATGATGGAGAAGGGAAAAAGCATCCAGAGTGTGAGAACAAAGTCCCACATCTGTGGGTACTTCAAAGGGGGTATGGGTGAGTGGTTATATAAGAAACCACATACCCCCATTCTATACATCCCAAAAAATTCCTTTCCTTCTCTAGTATTAGAAAGTGTTGTAAATTTTAGGACTAGAGAAGGGGTGTGTAATCTTTCCTTGCTATTATAAAATTTCTACTTTTGTCCATTATTGCTATTTTATTTTTCTCTTCTCTATTTTAGTTGAGTTCTTGTGCTAGTCTGATACCTAACAGTGGTATCAGAGCCACGTTCTTATTCCGTTGCGCTAGTCACTAGAATAGTGTTGGTAAAATTCCACATTAGAAAAGAGTTGTTACTGGAAAAGGTGTAGTAGTGTGAAACTGTTGTCTGGGGAAGTTCTGGCTAGGAAAGACTTGGTACTTAAGTGTGTCCATTAGTGACTCACCTCTCTTTCCTGGGAACTTACCTAGTGTATTGGTTCACGGTCTACTACTATTGTTCCAGTAGACAATACTATTCATAAGTGAGAGTTGCATAAGTGGAAACACAACTATGGCAGCGAAAGTATGAGATAGAGAAGTTCAACTAGAACAATTTCTCGTTATGGAAATTGAAGATGAAGGCAATTTTGAGAAAGGACAATTGCCTTGATGCAATTGAAGGAAGACCCGCAGAAATGACGGATCGAAGTGGAAGGAAATTACTGAAATGCTATAGCAAATTTGCATTTAGCAATGGCAGATTCCGTACTATCCAGATGTTGCGAAAAGAATACAAGAAAGGAGATTTGGGATGCCCTCATCAAATTATATGAGGTGAAGTCTCTTCACACAAGGATATTCTTGAAGCTGAAACTCTACACTCTTCGGATGAGTGAGTCCACATTGATGACTGGACCACATTAATCATCTGAACACCTTATTTGCCCAACTATCGCAGCAGATTTCAACATAGTTGAAAATGAACGTGCTGAACTTCTACTCGTGAGTCTACCGGACTCATACGATCAACTCATCATCAACATAACAAATACTAATATGGAAGGAAATTTACGCTTTGAGGATGTTGCCGGAGCTACTCTAGAAAAAGAATCCAGACGCAAGAATAAAGTAGATAGATTGGAAAATTCCAAGCAAGCAGAGGCTTTGACGATGATGAGAGGAAGATCAACAGAGCGTGGCTCCAGTGGGAGTCAAAACCATGGTAGATCAAAATCTCGAGGAAGGAAGAATTTCAAATGCTACTATTGTGGCATGAGAGGGCACTTGAAGAAAGATTGTTGGAAGAAGAAAAATGCAGAGAAGTCTTCTGAGGCAACTACATCTCAAGGATGTGTTGCCAGTACCTCTGATGATGGAGAAATCCTGTATAGCGAAGCAGCTATTGGTTCCAAAGGTGAAAAACAGCTCACTGATGTTTGGATAATAGATTCAGGAGCAACATGGCACATGACTTCACGAAGAGATTGGTTTTGCACTTATAAACCTATCTCAGAGGGATCTGTGTTCATGGGTAATGATCACGCCTTGGAAATTGCTGGAATCGGTACTGTCAAATTGAAGATGTACAATGGGACTATTCGTACAATTCAAGGGGTACGACATGTGAAGGGTTTGAGAAATAATTTATTGTCTATTGGACAATTGGATGACCTCGGTTGCAAGACCCATATTGAAGGTGGGATCTTGAAAGTAGTGAAAGGTGCTCTAGTAGTGATGAAAGCAGAGAAGTTTGCTGCAAACCTATACATGCTTCTGGGAGATACGTTGCAAGAGGCAGATGTATCAGTTGCATCAGCTAGTCAAGAGGAATCAACGACAATGTGGCATCGCAGACTAGGCCATATGTCGAACGGGGCTTGAAGGTCCTTGCGAACGTAAACTCTTACTCCGGCTCACATCGGTAAACTTACCTTTCGTGAGCACTCGTGTGACAAGCAAACAACATAGATTGAAATTTGAAAAGTCAACTACTAGAAGCAAACACATACTTGACTTGATACATTCCGATGTGTGGGAGTCACCTGAAATGTCCCTAGGAGGAGCTAAATATTTTGTATCATTTATTGATGATTACTCTAGGAGATCGTGGGTGTACCCAATCAAGAAAAAGTCAGATGTGTTTCCAGCTTTCAAGGAATTCAAAGCACAAGTGGAGCTTGAAACTGGAAAGAAGATCAAGTGCTTAAGGACAGACAATGGAGGAGAATATACGAGATGGTGAGTTTCCGGCATTCTCGCAAGCAGTGAGGGTATAAGGAGACAGCTTCACGGTTGCTCATACACCTCAACGAAATGGTGTAGCAGAGCGGATGAATAGAACTCTCCTAGAGAGGACTAGAGCTATCTTGCGAACAGCAAGATTAGCCAAGTCTTTTTGGGCAGAAGCGATGAAGACAGCCTTGTTACGTGATAAATCGATCTCCATCAACTCGTGATTGGTTTAAAGACACATATGGAAATGTGGAAAGGAAAGCCAGCAGAGTACTCTTCTCTACATGTGTTTGGATGTCCTGTGTACGTAATGTACAACTCCCAAGAAAGAACAAAGTTGGATCCAAAATCCAGAAAATGCATATTCTTGGGCTATGCCGACGGAGTTAAGGGGTATCGCTCGTGGGATCCCACTGCCCGCAAGGTTATTGTCGACAGAGACGTAATTTTTGCAGAGAATGAACTGCAAAATGAACAAGTAAATGACAAGCACTTCTAAAGATGTAACTACTGTACAAATAGATGGAAAGTCTCGGAGAAGAAGATTCTTTAGAAGCAGTAACCAGAGCATGAGGAGCAAGAACCAGAAGAGGCCAATGACACAGAAGTTCGACGAATAACACGTCGATAAGGAGACCATCTTGGCACTCGGACTATGTAATGGCAAGTCATGATGCATATTGTCTTCTAACAGAAGAGGGAGAACCGTCAACCTTTCAGGAGGTCGTGAGTAGTTCGGATGCTTCTCTCGTGGATGGCAAGCAATGCAAGAAGAAATAGAAGCCTTACACAAAAACAAGACATGGGAGCTTGTTGCACTTCCACAAGGTCGAAAAGCCATCGGCAACAAATGGGTTTATAAGATCAAACGTGATGGTAATGATCAAGTGGAACGATATCGTGCAAGACCGGTAGTAAAAGGGTATGCTCAAAAGGAAGGCATTGATTTCAATGAGATATTCTCTCCAGTGGTTAGACTTACCACTATCGTAGTAAGTGTTAGCTATGTGTGCTGCATTTGACTTACATCTTGAACAATTGGATGTAAAGACTGCTTTTCTTCATGGAGAACTTGAAGAAGAAATTTATATGCTCCAACCGTAAGGCTTTGAAGAACAAGGAAAAGAAAACTTGGTTTGTAGGTTGACCAAATCTTTGTACGGTTTAAAGCAGGCGCCAAGGTGTTGGTACAAGAGATTTGATTCCTTCATTATTAGCCTCAAATACAACAGATCGAGTTCGGACCATTGTACGTATTACAAGAGGTTTGATGATAATGATTTCATCATTTTGTTGTTGTATGTGGATGACATGTTGGTGGTAGGCCCCAACAAAGATCGAGTCCAAGAATTGAAGGCACAGTTGGCTAGGGAATTTGATATGAAGGACTTGGGACTCGCAAACAAGATTTTAGGGATGCAAATTCACCGAGACAAAAAGGATAGGAAGATTTGGCTCTCTCAAAAGAATTATCTTAAGAAAATCTTGCTGCGCTTCAACATGCAAGATTGTAAGCCAATCTCTACCCCATTGCCTATCAATTACAAATTATCCTCAAATATGTGTCCTAGCAATGAAGCGTAAAGGATGGAAATGTCTCGAGTGCCGTATGCATCGACGGTGGGAAGTCTTATGTATGCTATGATTTGTACGAGACCGGATATTGCACAAGCAGTTGGGACGGTTAGTCGATTTATGGCAAATCCTGGTAGAGAGCACTGGAATGCCGTGAAAAGAATCCTAAGATACATTAAAGGAACCTCTAATGCCGCATTATGTTTTGAAGGATCGAGTTTATTGTCGAGAGGATATGTTGATTCAGATTTTGCAGGTGATCTTGATAAAAGAAAATCTACTACAGGATATGTGTTTACACTTGCAAGTGGAGCGGTAAGTTGGCTATCTAAACTCGCAGACCGTTGTAGCCTTATCTACTACAGAGGCGGAGTACATGGCAGCTACCCGTGCATGCAAGGAAGCAATTTGGATTCAAAGGTTATTGGGAGAACTCTGACACAAGCAACGAAGATCAATGTGTATTGTGACAGTCGAGTGCCTTGCACATTGCAAGGAATCCAGACTTTTCATTCCAGAACAAAACACATAGGAGTACAATATCATTTTGTCGAGAAGTAGTAGAGGAAGGGAGTGTGGATATGCGTAAGATTCATACCAAAGATAACCTAGCAGATGCCTTGACAAAACCAATGAATGCCGACAAGTTTATACTAAGTCGATCCTGTTATGGCCTATTGAAAGCATAAGCAGCATAGATGGAAAAGATAATCATGGTGTGAAGATTTGATTAATTTCATCAAAATCTTCAAGTGGGAGATTGTGAGAACAAAGTCCCACATCTGTGGGTACTTCAAAGGGGGTATGGGTGAGTGGTTATATAAGAAACCACATACCCCCCATTCTATACATCCCAAAAAATTCCTTTCCTTCTCTAGTATTAGAAAGTGTTGTAAATTTTAGGACTAGAGAAGGGGTGTGTAATCTTTCCTTGCTATTATAAAATTTCTACTTTTGTCCATTATTGCTATTTTATTTTTCTCTTCTCTATTTTAGTTGAGTTCTTGTGCTAGTCTGATACCTAACACAGAGTTGGTGGAGATTGGGAAACAAATTGTGAAGAAATGTGGAGGAATACCATTGGCGGTGAGAACTCTAGGGAGTTCATTGATCTCAAGGGTTGATAGAAAAGAGTGGGAGAATATAAGAGACAACGAGATTTGGAATTTAAAACAAAATGAAAAAGACATTTTGCCTGCTCTTGAATTAAGTTATGATCAACTACCTTCACATTTAAAACCATGTTTTGCTTGCTTCTCTCTTGCCTCG